CCCAAAACAATCCAAGTTCCACTCCTTTTTGAACATACATCATGACACGCAAGTCCAAAAGAGACAGAGCTTGTGATTCGAGAGCACAACACTGTTTTGGTCATTTGACAAACGTAGCCAGAGTTACAAACATCCATGGTCCCAAATGCTCTACGGTGTCATATTTTACAGGAACACCCTTATGATAGCAACTCAAAAACCTCAAATATTTACCAAGTTGTCCCTATGTTATAAGAGGCCATTTAGCCAGGTAGCAAAGGAACTAAGTGCTCTCATGATCTTTCAAGCTTGGTTTCTCTTCAGCTCAAATGAATTGTACACATGAATTCAAAATGCCTGAAGAGAAGCACCCATCTGGAAAATAAATGTCAGTTCTCAATAGCTGACTATTTGATGACAGGTGGGTTGTGGGGAAGGTTACTTTAAAACATTTTTATCTCTTTAAACAAACTAGAAATGATGGGGAAAATGAAGAAACTCAGGGGGCTTTTTATGTCATTTTCTTTGTTACTGCAATCCTGCACATTGGACAATAAAGAATAAAGGGGTTACATCAATACTGAAATTCAAATAATAAGCTACATTTGAAACATTCTGCCACAGGACTTTACCCTAGTTTCCCAAACATGCATCAAAACGATGAACTCTCTTCCTAGAAATAAAGTGTTCCATCGAAGGAATATTCTTTACTGTCTTTTGTACATGTTGAGCAAAAAATAGCCCCAGATATTCTCTGGTTGAAAGGCAACCTTGCCATTGTAATGTTTTATGGCTGACAGAACCAGGGATGCGGAAAAGATGACAGCACAAGTAACACTATGTTCTATTTCTTCCCCCAAACATCTGAACATGCTTGTGCAGTTCTGGAAACGGTTCAAGATGTTGAACCTGAAAAGTTCAAAGCCTGAAAGACAAAACAGAATGTTCCATTGCCAGATCCCCCTATTTGCAAATCTCCTAAGTTTTAATCTTCTTTAATAGCAGGAGTACATCTGAGGACTGTTGCTAATGTTGGCTGGGCAAGACTCACAGTTGGAAGAGCAAGACATGGTGCAAAGTGGGCAAGGCCACGTTTTGTCCAGGTTATTGCTGCTGTTGCACAAGTTTAAATGTCTAAACCTGGGTTGTCCCTTTGCCCAGGAGTTTGAGGTCTAGCCACCTGAGAAAGCTCCCTCCGCCTTTGTGCAGGCAAAAGGGGAGCAAGTTGGTCAGTGGATTAAACTGTGCTCTCCCTTCAGGGGAGAGGGGGGAGCTTCGAAAGAGCTATAGAACCTATGCTCCCCAGCTTTGCCTGGACAATCATGCCAATCATCACCTTTGTCCCAGTTTAATTGCTTGATAATATTGCAAGCTTCTGCTCAAACAATCCATGTCTCATTTTAGAGCTAGGGTAGGACTACTTCAAGGGACATAAAATATCCAAAGGGACCCATTAGGCACCAGAGGAATCCATAGGATGAAAAGCTTTTGTCAAAAGGATGCAAAGAGTGTCATGCTTTTGGGAAACAAGCTCCACCCACTAGTATAGACATGTGATGTCACAGTGCATGTTCCACAGGGGTGGAGCTTGCATTCCAACAGGCAACGTTAGCTTGCAGGAGTCATTGCCCGATTCAGCATAGAACAGACCTCACCAGGCCCAGTGCAAGAATTCCAAGTTTTGGTTTCTCCAGTTTGGTAGGGCTTGTGGACCAAGCTGTAGGGAAAGGAATTCTTGGTCATTTTTATAGCACACCTGGCATCTCACCAGGGCATCTACTAAATAACTTTTCAAGGTAAAGACCAAAAAACCCCTGAGTTAAGCTCCATTTCTAGTGATTACATGGACACAACCCTGCAGTTTTCTTGGTAGATTAATAAAAATAATTTGCCGCTGTCTTCAGGGAAATGTTTTTCTACTTTCTAGTCTAAAAGCCCCTGGAACTATCCAAACGCTACCACACCCAGTCTTGCTTAGCTTCTGAGCCCAGACTTCAAGTAATTGGTGAGAATTTCTGAATGTGCACGGTCAGGCTCAAGCAGACTGACTATCTTCTCTGAGCAAACTCCACGTGCAGTTTTGGAAATGATTACTGCAAACTAGACATCAGAAGAGTAATAACCAGCCTGGAAATCCCAAAGGTCTCTGACCATGGTAAAAACAAAATGTGGTTGCAGCTGCTGAACGTTTCTCCACCCTATCCCTGGAGAGGCGTGCTAGAGTCATCACTGTAAACCACACTGGGAACAAGGGGCAGAGGAGAAGGGGGTCTCAACCCATGTCTAAATCTAGAATTCCTTTGCTTCATTCCCAGCTTCCACATCCCCACCGTCACCAGAAAGCTGTTGGTAAATGCAACAGAACTGAAGAGGGGTGGAAAAACAGGCAGACAATACATATATAAATAGATACAGTAACGTATTTCCATCCTGTCTTCCATTCAGGAGCGCAAGATGACACACATAATACTCCCTCCTTTTTTTCCCTCCTAACAACAAACCTGTGAGGTAGCTAACCCTTGTTCTCATTATAGATCGCATAGGTACTGTTCTATTGAGAAAGCGATTTTATGAGACAGGGCAACTTATGCAGATATGCCTGAAATTCCTATATATTTCACAGCCAACTTCTCTTCTGCAGCCACTCTCTTCTCATACTTCAACTCCCTGCTCAAGCGGCCTTTCCCATTTCTACTCAGAAATCTCCTGCTCCAATCTCCTTTCCAGCTGAGTAGCGACTGATCAAAACAAAAATCTAACATGGAAAAGTCGGGCAGTTTTTTTCAGAGGGAACAGGAATGATGGGAAACACTCTACCAGTTGAATTGAGATTCATTAGAAGAGCTGTGGTAGAACAAGTCTATTAATAACACAGCACCTGCATGCAAGTTACCACCACTAGAGGGAGCATTTAGACCATCATTAGTGTCCATATTTACCTTGGCATTGTCTTTGCCTAACATTCAGAAGTCCTGACTCCCTTTTGTTTAAATGACAGAAAGCAGTTTTCATGTGAATAAACTTGGTTACAGAATAAGACTTCATATTCCTGAATGTACATTTCCAAATCTCACAACTGAAGGGCACTATTCTTACTCCTTGATCCTGCTGTGATTTTATTCACTCAAGTAATTCCAAACATTGTGGGGAAGCCTACATAATGGCCCTTCCGGTGGCTTTCTGAAGATCTCATGCAAGATGATCCTTAATAGAGAGATCCTGATAACCTTGTGTTGATTTCAGCTCCATAAAGTAAAACCTGTTCTCACTGCTGCAGTGGGGGAGTCACCATCGATTCATGCTGCATCCTGATCTTTATATTGAAAGGTGAAGACTGCCTTGCAAAGTTTGACGCCTAGTAACCAATTGGACACAACCAGAGTTTTTTGGCTGTAATACTTACATCATGTATCAATGCCTTCTTCCAGGTTTTTAACTTCTCAATCTAGTCTACAGCTCTTGATATTCTTGGTGGCCCCAAACAACTAGGTGCCATTCACCTTTTAAGATCAACCAAGGTCAGCTAGATATGGCCAGCTGTGACACTTTCATACTAGAAGCAGTTTTAATGCTTAAGTAACCAAAACCAAAATCAATCCATTTTTACCCCCAAACTGCCATGGGCACATAATTGTTTCAAATTTTGTTCTAGAATTTTTACCAGCATGACATCTGTCCCACA